TATGTTTACTAATGGACAACAGAAATTCCATGTTCTCAAGCATCATGTTTGAATCTTTCAATATATCCATGTATAATGTATGTATGTATGTATATACTTAGGCCTGTTTATATAACTGAAAATAAATAAAATTAGTTGCATTGTAATAATCTTTTTATTAAATTTAGAATTTATTACAATTTTTGTTTTGGGTTTTCTTATACAGGTTATGTTTTTTAAAGAGTCAAAAGCAGATTCGCGTTGACTTGTAGAATTCTTTATTAATATTCATGTTTAATAAAATTTAACTCCATTCAAAATTTTATTTTAAATACCTTTAAAAACTTGTAATCCAAACATTTAATTTTGTAATATGAGCAATAACATCTTGTGAAAAACAAGGCACCGAAGATGAAGATGTCGATAAAGATAAATCAAGAAAACGTAGATGTATTGCTCATTACTAACTTTATTCTATATTCATACATGCGTACATGAATATGTATTCAAATAATTACTTATTACTTATAAGGTGTTTCAAATGTACATTTCATTGTCTCGCTATCATTTGATATGATCAAATAAATATATGACAGTAGAAAAATACAATATAAACAAAGATCATGTAAGACATCAAAAGGTAAAATCAGATAGAGTCGTATTAAAGACACCTACTTGAATTTTAATTATATAAGAACATTACTCGTAAAGTTTTTATCAAACTGTCTTTTCAAGTAAACGCCAAAAATATTAGTCTGAAAACTCCTTTCGTGTGTCTCAACATATACATGTTTTGGGTCCATTTCTAAACTAATAATCTTCATTTTCATTACCCACATGAACTTTGTAGGTTCTACCAACATGAAACCTTCGCAAATGTTAATTACTCGTCTATATAACTTTTTTTTTTCTTGTTCATCTTAATTATCTTTGAAATTTTAATAAGACTTATGATCATATTACTTTCTTTGTTGTGATAGATTTGATGGTAAAATCTTTTTGGAGAAAATGAGGGGAAAAACGATAATGTTTGTGGGAGACTCGTTGAGCAAAAACCATTGGTTGTCCTTATTATGTATGATTCATTCATCAGTACCTTCTGCACGTTATTCCGTAAAGTTATCTATGGTCGATGAGATGACCACTTACACCTTTATGGTATGTCATTCGCTTGTGTAATTATGCACAATTTCTTATTGCGAAAATGGAATTACATCTAAAAGGTTATATGTTGGATTGTAGGATTATGAAGTGAAAGTGATGTATCATCATAGCTTATACTTGGTAGATATCGTTGAAGAAAAAATTGGAAGAGTGTTGAAATTGGATTCAATTACAAGTGGCAAGCTCTGGTTGGATATGGATTATCTTGTCTTTAACACGTGGCATTGGTGGACCCGTAGAGGCCCCACCCAACCGTATGTCTCACTTCATCCATACATACATGCATACATATATACGAAGACAAGTATATATAATGACTATATATGATGATTATGCAGATTTGATTTTATACAAGACGGGAATAACATAACTAAAGATATGGATCGTGTTGTTGCTTTTGGGAAGGCTATTGATACATGGGGTCGATGGGTCGATGACAACATTGATCCGGTTAAATCGAAGGTTTTCTTTCAGGGGATTTCACCTACTCATTACAAGTAAGTTCGGTTATTTGTGTGGGTAAAATCTAAGAAAAGAAACGTATTTTCATTAATTTATTTATTATAGCATGAAGCTCTCACTTTTGTTATGTTACAAAATCATATTTAAATAAACTATCCAACTATTAAAAATCATCCAAATATAAAACAATTTTTTACAGTGGGGCAGGCTGGGGCGAACCAAAGGCTCAAGCCTGTTTGGGACAAAAAGAACCTGTTCCTGGCGAAAAGTACCCTGGAGCACTACCAATGGCATTGGAGGTTCTTGAGAAGGAGCTTAAACCCATCAAGAAACCGGTGACATTGTTGGACATAACAAATCTATCGTTGCTGCGAAAAGATGGGCACCCGTCAAAATATGGGCTTCCCCACAAAACCGGGATGGACTGCAGCCACTGGTGTCTCGCTGGAGTTCCTGATACTTGGAATGTTTTGCTCTACAACTTTATGTTCTAGTAAGCAGCTATAGATTTAATTATGATTTTTTATATATAACATAAAGTGGAAAATCATAAAAATTTTGTGTTGGTAATTTAAATAAAAAATCATATTTTCACATGTTTTTTTTCTAGAGATTATTTTTCTACTGATAAATAGTTTATGCCGGGTGGACATGTTTTGAAGCAATTTGGGTTAAATTTGTGGAAGTTATTTTATCGAGTTGGTCGGTTTAAAGAAGTTTCAAACCGGAATGTTGGCTTTAGGCTTTGGCTACATATTTATGTTGTAAAAGTTAAAAACTAACTATATCTATTTTCAACCAAATCAGACCGTGATTATTTGCATCGGGAATTCATTAGTGGATTAAAGCTGTAGTTAAGGAAAAAACAGTGTCATTGTAATCACATTTAAAAATTATTTAATTTCAACTAGATAACTTAAGTCAACATAGTCCTATATTTTAATATTTTGAACTATTCTAAATCCAAATTTTCCTCCGTACAAAATAAAACAATCTAACCGACCAAAAAAAAAAAAAACATCGTACAAATTGACAAAAAAATCAAATTTGAATTGAATTTTTCATCAAAAAAACAAAAGGTTTTGTATTTATTATAGTACAAAAGTTGTTATATTTGTTATAGAAGGACTCAAGGAAATAAGGAAGCAAAAAGTACACCCCCCAACTACCCATACACTCACACAAAAACTCTCTTCGTGTGTGGGGTTGTATTCAATTGAAAATGAGTGTGTGGAGTGTGTGTTTTCTTCTTGTTTATGTATTGAGCTTCCAAGGTATTGTTAATGGCGATGAAAAAAAGTGTGATTTCTTCAAAGGCAGATGGGTATGGGACGATTCAGAATCAAACCAAATGTATACGGGTTTAGAATGCCCGTTTATAAACAACGGTTTGAATTGCCAGAAAAATGGTAGACCGGATAACACATACCTTAACTACCGATGGCAGCCTCACTCTTGTTCCCTTCCAAGGTCTGTTCCTTTCATAGCTTTCTACTTTCACTTTTTTTTTTCTCACTAGAGCATTATACTTTAGCAAAAAATTGTTTCATATATATGTGAAAACGGAAGTAAGATGCCATAATAAGCAAATGAACGAAAAATATGTTGCTATTTTTAAAATTTGCTTTGAAATGTATAGATTCAATGGTGAGGAGTTTCTAGTGAGAAACAAAGGAAAGAAGATAATGTTTGTGGGGGACTCTTTAAGTTCAAATCAATGGCAATCACTAGTATGCATGCTTTACAACCATGCACGACTCATCATCCCTAGCATCATTCATGGAGGATCAATCTCAACTGTTTCTTTTCCTGTAAGTCCAGACTTGGTTCGAAAATTAAATAATTAAAAGTTTCCTGATCTAAATGTTGTGTTTTTATGATTGAAGGAGTATGGAGTTTCGGTTATGTATTTGAAAAACGGGTTTCTTGTAGACATAGTGGTGGAGGAAAAGGGGCGTGTCTTGAAGCTGGATTCGATTAGCAGAGGGGCAAAATGGGAAGAAGCTGATATTTTGATTTTTAATAGTTATCACTGGTGGATTCATGGTGGACAGCTTAAAACGTATCACTTGTGAACAACTTTTAACTTTTTAAATAGTTTGGTAAAATGTAAAGTTGCTGTTTTGGTTGCAGATGGGACTATTATCGGGTTGGTGACATGTTATATAAAGACATGGCTTTAATGGATGCATATAGGATTGCGTTGACTACATGGGCTAAATGGGTTGACTCCAACGTTAACCCTAAAAAGACACAAGTTTTTTTCCAAGGGATTTCTGCTGTTCATTATGAGTTAAGTTTCGTTTTACTGTTGGCTAATTAGTGTGATGATTTTATTTTAACTGAAATTATTTTGTTTTGTGATATTAGAGGGAAGGATTGGGGGGCACCAAATATCAAGAATTGTGAGGGGCAAACTGGTCCTATACAAGGATTTAGGTATCCAGGGAATAGGTATCCAGGAGAACAAGTGGTGAAAGATGTATTGCAAAAAATGAAAAATCCAGCTTATTTACTGGATATAACATTACTTACACAGTTGAGAAAAGATGGGCACCCAGCCAAGTATGCTGATGGACCTATGGATTGCAGCCACTGGTGCCTTGCTGGCGTTCCTGATACATGGAATCAAATCTTGTACACGGTTTTGCTTAAAGATTAGTTTTTTTAAGTATTAAAAGTTGCAAATAAGTGGGACATGTCATATCGACACCATGTAATATTAGTCTTCAAATTTAGAGCATAGTATTAGTATGCACAAAACAACTTCATTTATTCACTGTTATGCTCTAGTGTTCTTTTACAACATTAATGAAACAAAATGAGAAGTTAATATGGGAAAAGGGAAGGATTAATATGATTAAATATGAGTAATAACATATTACATTGGTCAATTATATATCTATGGAATTGATAATCAATACAATGAGGAGAACCAAAGGGCCAATGGCCTAGCGGTATGGAGTGACCATCTCATATGAGAGGTCGGGGGTTCAAGTCTCGGTGGAGACATAGGTGGTTATTTAGGACTAGATTAGTTAGTTTGCCGTTTCAAAAAAAAAAATACAATGAGGAGAATGTAAATTGATCTCAGTTTGATCAAATGAATTGTAATACATGCTCAAAGTCACTTGCACAGTATGTATTCTTTGTTTTTGATTTATTGCAGAAATGTTTAAGAGGCGCATATTTTTCTGTTTTTTAATGAAAAAAAATTATAAAATAAATACAAAAGGGCATTATAATATTTTCATATCGTACAAGGACGTTAAACACAAGAGAATCATACCACAAACACGGCCCGAATGCAAAATGAAAGTTAGGGACTAAACGTTCAATTTTGACAAAACCACACAGACAATATCAATAATTTACTCTAAAAAATAATAAAAAGAAAATTATGTTTTGGATTTTCTATGCAAAATGAATGCAACAAAGAAAAGGCAAATATTTTGGAGCTCTTTTGTTTAAAAGAAATATGCAAATGAAAATATTTTTCTGATTTTTTAAAAATTTACGACCTAAAATAAACTAAAAAAAAATACAAATGTGACGCATACCCCTCCCCGAACTTAAGATGTAGCATTGTCCTCAATGCTTGGGAAAGAGCATGACTAAACCTACGTATGGCCAGGTGGTAGTGGTGAATGATAACCGGGATAATTAATAGCCCAACCTGAAACGAGGACATCAAGTGATACATTTCTTCGTTATGTTTTTGGACCACCTGGTTATGATGTTCTTGGGCCTCCCAGCGGTTGTCTTAAACGGCCTAACAAGCGGTTTAGGTTTCCCACCTGGTGTCTTGTGCTTCACATAGACCGACATATGGTGTGGTACGATTGTGGAAGGCATGATGGAGCTCATGATAATTGTCACACCCCCGAACCAGGACGGCGGAAACATCCGGGGGCGGTTGCATCATTGTGTAATATCATAGCAGTTGAATATAAATGATATATAGCAACCAACATCATACATTACAATATATCAGCATTCATTGTTTACAAATTGTACTTGTTCTTCGATTACACAAAAATAACATAAAGTATGATGTCTCAAAAGATAGCAAAAATATCCAGATCCAATGCTCGAGTACCTGTTCACTGAGTCCATAAGAATACAAGTCGTTTTGAAAAGCGTCAACATTGAATGTTGGTGACTTCATAAGCATATTTGTAAGAAAACTTTGTAACATCTTGGTTTATAGTAAGTTGTAAAACTCCAGAAAATCCAATATTTTCTATAAAAGTAGTTTGTGAGTCTCGTTCCAAAACCGTGTATAGTTGCATGCATGTTCTTTATTTTCCTTTGTTTGTATTAGAAAGAGTGTGTCCCAGAAAATCCTATATTTTCTGTATATAAAAGAGTTGTGGTCTTAAAACCCTAAGACCCGAGTGGTTAAATCAGTTTACAAAGTATACGAAACATAGTTTTGTGTTTTGTAAGACTAGTAGAGTGTAAATTATTCGTAAATTTAAATAATGTTGTTATTCCCTATGTGAGTCGTTATAACCATACTAATATGACTAATGTGTCTGTCTTGACGTTCTTCAGGCGTCGGTTTCTAAAGATACTTATCACCCTAGACTGGCCTGTCTAGCTGTAGCGAACAACTCAGGTGTGGGGGTGTCAACCCCGTATAGATCTATACATAATTACCTCGCTCTCCCTCCTGGAGAATCTAGTTATAACTACAGGACTTACGATGTACGCTAGGTAGGTACGGTGAAGGAGTGTCTCACAAGAGCCTCAACAAAATTTACGCGAATTTATATAATAATGTATACGATGTTCTTAAGGTAAGTTTATAACTGCGGTTTTATGACTCGCGCATATTCCTGTCGTAAGAACTTTGCTTTGCTCACCGGTTATATTAATTTATTTATAACGATAGTTATGAATGATTTCTAATATCTTGATAATCTTCATAGATGTAAAAATAACGTATTATCTTCGGTTTTAAACCATACTAATAATAATTTTTACATATCTCGATTTTTCCACAATACATATAAAACTTAAATTTTATATTTTGTTTTATGTATTTATGCAACTTTAATGGAAAAATATGAATTTGCCGATTTTTACTACAATTGTCAAAAATAACACATTTTTACCACAATTGTCATAAATGACCCATATTTACCAAAATTGTCATAAATGACCCATTTTTACCAAAATTGTCATAAATGACCCATTTTATCATATTTGTCATAAATGACCCCCTTTTTACCAAAATTGTCATAGATGACCGATTTTTGCCAAAATTATCACAAATAACCCATTTTTACAAATGTTGTGGTAAAAATTTATATATTCAAAAATTTACCATTTTAAGTGTAAATTTCCATATTTTTCCATTTTTGAAGCTTTCATGACCAACAAATTTGTTCTAACATTTTCCTTGACATCATGGTGATATTATCACATATTAGGGAAAACATTTTTAACATAACAACAGAACATGTGAGCTACACAAGATAACTTAGATTCCAACAATTTGAGACTTGTATAAATCTCGAGTTCATGGACTTTTAGCATGGAATCACAACATTTCACACATATAAACATATAAAACATTCACATGCAAGCAAATATACAAAGATTCTACACAAGACTAGACTTGTATCCTCC